ACACTGTAATTGTGCATTATCAAGAAGTGGGTGCCCTGCCTTAATGGGTATGCTAGGACTTAATTCATGCAAGGAAGCACACTGCACAATGCTCGCAATGCTCCCATCATCCATTGAAACCTCACACTTTGTTGGCCCAGTAACACTATGACAAACAATGCTTTTGTGGGGGAAGTACTAAGAGTCTAGACATGAAGTTCAGGTTCAGAAAGACCAACATCACTTCCACCTGCGGTCTGCGGAGTCTACAGTATCTCCTACATGTCTTGGTCCATTTCTCTTACTTTCTTTTTTCTGTATACACTTGGAAGTGATCCAGTTTACCAGAATGTACATGCAGGACACTTTGACTTTTTCTCCTGATGTTGCCTGCCACCGTAGATGCAGCTCATAACAGGTGCAGAACTCTGATTTTCTTGTTCCTGTTTTGATCTGACTGGGGATTCCCTGACAATGTGTAGAGCAGGTACTGCTTGCATTCCTAGGCAAGTGGTTGGTTTTGGAGGCCTCTGCAGCGCATGTGACATCCAGGCAGTTGCCTAAGGTGAGGTCACTTTCTCAGAGCAAGTGTTCTCGCAATTGGAGAGTCAGCACGCCACACAAAAGCCTCTCCCTGATCAAGGAATCTCCCAACTCAAATGCACTTGCTCATGTTCGCAGCACGGTCGCACAGTAATCCAATCCTCTCTGTAGCTGATTTCTTGCCAAGAATGTCTATTGTTCCAGTGTCTTTTTGCACTTTGGAACAGTTGGCCTCTAAAGCTGCTAGCAGAGTTAACAGTATTGAGACAGTCTTGACCTCAGGCTAGCATTTATCTTTCTTCCCCGCTTTCCAATATGATAAAATTAAAGTTTCATGTCCTGCTTCCCTTTACTTCAGGCATAGCAGCCATGTCTATGTAGAATCTAAACCCCTGCTTTCAGTAGGTCCACTTTTTGGGACAGACTCTTGATTACAAAATTCAGGCTTCCTGGAGGTCTCAGTCCATGTGCCATGCCTGCTTGTTCTAAAAATTACTCAATGTATTTGTGCTTTATTAGCATGTGGGCTTTAGATGAGAGGAAAGGCTGCTATTCAGCTTCATGAGCACTCAGCCAGTCAGCCCCAGGCAAGCTGCAAGGAGCGAGGTCCTTTCCCAGTTCTCTTAGTTCCCTACTAGATCCAGAATCTCTCTGCTTAGAGAGGCGCTGCCCCTCCACTTGGGTTTGGTTACCATGGCCAGTCCCCAATCCTCTGTAAACTCTGGCTTTGGTGGGACAGGTTTCTCCTCTCCTGGAGTGCGGTATGATTGTAATCTTTGATGGAGAATCTTTGGCTTTCTTCAACATTCAGCTTCTTTTCTGTCCCATATAGAAGGACATTTGCAAATGTTGGTTAATTCCTATTGAAAATGAACCGAACTACAATTCTCAGCCATGCCAATTCAAAGAAGTATAAACCTTATAAAAGGAATAATGGTGGGTCTTAAGTATAGAGCAGGAACTAAGATAAAGAGGGATCCTTGGGTGTTTTCATTGTTCTCCGCATCAGCATTACCACTGATGTTTAAAAAGGTTCTTTCTAAACATTTAAAAATAAAAATTGTTTGAACAGTCTTTGCAGCAAAGTCTTTCCTCTGCTATTTTTGGACAAAATCATGAATGACATGAAAGATCTCTGTGTAGATTTTCATTTTGTGAAGCAGTTTCAGAGTGCTCCTTTTTCGAATAGAGCAACAATTTTCCCAATCTGAATGTCTACCCCCTCCAAAGTTTTTATTAGCTGTATAGCAGAGAAAACAAAGGCATGGCAGAGGTGCCTATATTTTTTCTCTCCACTTTTATGCTGGTCACTTTTGCGGCTGTGTGAATCTGACAAAGAGGACAGAGAGAAGAGTCCCCTCTACCCCATTCTATTATTTAGGAAAAATCACACACACACACACATATCCATTATGCCTTAAAGATTGTCTGCCTGTCTGTCGGCTAGCATAAAGGCTTCTGTGTTGGATGTGGTTTGGCCCTTACACACTTTTAGCTCCAGTTATTGGCTATCAAGATCAGAGATGGACAGAAGTTTGACCTGGATTTACTATTAGTCTGTGGGAATTGTGCAGTAGATCAATAAGGCTTTCAGAATCCCAGTTGTTGAATAGTAACAGCTACGCGATAGCAAAGCTTACACAACATGACAAGCCAGCCTGTGAATAAGCTACACAGCACGGGTTGTTCTTGGAGCAACCCATAGTTCACCTGACAGATGGCTAAGGTCACTATAGGTTAGACTCTCCCGTCCTTCTCCATCAGTTGGCCTATGGGTATTCCGTGGGACTCTGTGGCAGGATCCAGCTTGTCTCCTTGTGCTGACCATAAAATCTGCATATTTCCATCAAAAAACCATGCGCACACACAAGATGACAAAACAATGACAGTTGCTCTGATGTGTCTCTTCAGCACTTTGAAGGGCTTGTCACTGCCTGTCACTTTGGATATTGCAAGAAGCAATTTCGGGGGAGCGGAGAAAAAGGGGGAGGCCATGGGAACCACAAAAGGGGTCACAGTCAGCATGAAGACCAAACTGCTGGCTGCCACTGCTAGTACCTCAGGTAACTTTGGTAAGATTTTTGCTGCACTTGCTGAGCAGCTTGTTTACCATTTCCTTATATCCACAAAGGAGTAGTCACTAAGGTTCAGATGACATGAGTATCCATTGTGGGTCCAACAATCCTAGAACAAGCCATGGATTGGTGAGGGGGGGAAGTTGTTGCCCACAAACAAGCCAACCTGCAAGAAATGGCCCCACTTCAAATAACCTGCCAACCCCATGCAGATAGTTACTCATGCTCAGTTGGCATGCTGAGCTAATCCACTCTGTGACTCCTTTCCCAACCCAAATTATACTGATGAAAGAGAGAAAGCTTTAGCTAACCAGGAGCAGATTTTTAGGTTGAAGGACTGTATGCCTCGTTCACTTCTGGTGTGCAAAGCAAACTCCTGGGCTCCGTGTTCTTTCATTTTCAGTGTATAATGAAAATGAAAGAACTCTTTTTGCACTAGGCTCCTGTTGGTAATTCTTAAGGCTGTTGTAAAAAATAAAGTAGATATTGCAAACCTGAAGTCTGCCCACTCCTACATGTAATGTAATCCTGTTAACAGAGTTGTCCAGACTCCATCTGGTCCTATTTTATTGGATAAGTTTCAGTTATTGAGGCCTGAAGATGTGGACAAGGTACTTGGGCAAATTTGGCCCACCACCTGCCTTCTTGACTCTTGTTCCTTATGGCTGCTCATCAAAGCCAAGGAGAGAATGCATTCCTGGATCCAGATGGTTGTGAAGGCCTCTCTGAGGGAGGGCATGTCCTGACTCTGTTAAGAGAGGCAGGGATTAATGCCCTCCTGAAGAAGGCAAGCCTGGACCCAGAAGATGTTAACAACTATAGTCCTGTGGCCAACATTCCCTTTTTGGGCAAGGTGCTCAAATGGATGGTGCCTGGACAACTCCAGGCACTCTTGGAGAAAACCATTTCAGTCCAGCTTCAGAACTGGTTTTGGGACAGAAACTGCTTTGGTCGCCTGGTGGGATAACCTTTGCCAGGGCAAGGACAGGGAGAATGTGTCCTTGTTGGTTCCCCGGGATCTCTCAGCAGCTTTTGATACCATCAAACATGATACCTTCTGCATAGGCTGGCTGGGTTGGGAGACAGAGGCACTGCTCTGCAGTGGTTCCATGCTGCAGGGTTCCATCCTATCCCCCATTCTGTTTAATATCTACAGCAAACCACAGGGAGAGGTCATCCAGAGGTTTGGGCTAGAGTGACATTAGTATGCTGATGACACTCAGCTCTACCTCTCATTTACATTCGATCCAGGTGAGACAGTTTCAATTCTGAACAAGTACCTGAGCAGGGTGATAGACTGGATGAGGGCCAATAAAATGAAATTTAATCCAGAGAAGACGGAAGTGCTATTGATGAATGGAGCCTTCGTCCAGGGGGAATTTATCTGCCCTGTTCTGGATGGGGCTGCAATCCCCTGAAAAAATAGTGTGGAGCTTGGGGGTGCTCCTGGATCCAGAGTTGTCCCTGGAACACCAGGTGGTAGCTGTGGCCAGGAGCATCTTTTATCAACTGTGGCTGATATATCAACTGCACCCCTGTTTGAACAGGCAGAACCTAGCAGTGGTAATCAATGTGCTGGTAATCTCACATTTAGACTACTGTAGTGTGCTCTACCTGGGGCTGCCCTTGAAAATGGTCCAGAAACTTCAGTTGGTACAAAATAGGGCAGTCTATCTTTTGACAGAATGGGCCAACACAAACATATAAGCCCTGTTCTTTACTAATTGCATTGGCTACCAGTTGAAGTCTGGGCCCTCTTTAAGGTGCTTACAATGATGTGCAAAGCCCTAAATGGCTCAGGGTCTGGATATCTAAAGGAATGCCTCCTAACCCAGACCCTAAGATAATCTATGAAGGTCCATCTCTGGGAGCCACCTTTAAATGAAGTAAGGAAGGGCCTTCTAAGCAGTGGCTTCCCGATTATGGATCCAGCCCCCCAGGGAGATATGCTTGGTGCTGACCCTTTGTATATTTTGGTGCCAGGTTAAAACCTTTTTATTTTCCTGTTATTTTAACTGCTGAATAGACATGATTTTATACTAGTCTTTATCCATATGATGTTTAGTTTGCTGTGGATTAGTTGCTATTGGGTTGTGTATGATTATTATTTATATGATTAATTGTTTTAATATAGTTTATTATTATTAATATGTATATGTTTGGATTTTATATTTTAGGCTCTTTAAATGTTTTTAAATCCTTGTACACTGTTCTGAGAGTGTCTGCTAAAGAACAGTTTATAAAAACTTTAAATAAAGATGGAAATACACTAGATTACCCACCCAGAGATTAGTAACATTGCAGAGATTCACCCCACCTTTAAGGTCAAACTTGGCAGGAGGTGTGTGGTGGCAGGAGAGCAATACGATATAAGCTGAAACAAATGAAATTGAAGTAAGTCTCTTTTCTATGATAAAGAGGACTGGATTTACTTTATTTTTTAATATTTCTACTGTTAGGAAAACTTGTATCAAAATATTTACAATGACTGCACATGAAATAAACATTAAGAAATGGCAAGTACAATAGCTGAACATTATCCACCAAATTACAAATGTGTACATGTAAAAAGAATGTAATGAGAAAGAGAGAGAGAGAGAGAGAGAGAGAGGAAGAAAGAACACTGTTTATACTAAACTTGCAGTCCTGAACTGAATTTGTCTCCCTGTTTCCCATGGCTGGGGTAGCATAAAGCAACATCAGCCTCTTGCCATTCATCTTCTCCACTCATTTTAACTGTTCTCAACAGCTGGGTGTATGGACCTAAGATCCTGATGCAAGTTATGACATAATGATTCTTTCCATTTCCATGCAGCCATTTTCTGCTTGACTGTTTGCAAAATGTGGTCTGCTGGGCATCTCCTTGTCCCCTGGCAGTCATGTTATATGAGAGGAAAGTATGGGGGAAAATTAAGAAGGCACATCAGATTGAAGGCCCATGCCCAATGTGATCTCTAGCTAAGCAGAGAACTGACTCAGAAGCCCACTCTAACTCATAGGCAACATTTCTTCTGGTATATTAGGTACACATTAAAAAATTGTAAGGCCTTTTAAAAGGGACATATTATATTGTCAATGCAAGATCTCTTACTGAAAAACAGCTATTTTAAAAAACATCCTCCCAACTCTGTCTTATGCAAGAATGAGAGAAATTTGTCAGATTTGGTGGTGCTAGGTGAGATTCCCATGAGTCAAAGCTGAACGCCTCCACAAGCTGACCAGCAACAGCCTTTTCTGTCCTCCTTGTTGAATATGCACACCACCGAGCTGACAGGTCAGTGGTATCATGGTGACTCCATCAGATCCCATCATGCAGCTGTGTCAGGTAGGTGCATGGTGAGCTCTAATGGAAAGCCACAGGTTTTAATGCCATTACTCTGAGAGTGAAGGACCTCATTCTGCATAATTAAGAATTTTCCCCTTCCCCTCCCTATCCTGCCTTCTGCCCACCTCCCAGCAACCTCTCTTCTCATTCCCTGCTGGCTCACTGTTTTCCCTCTGATCTCTTCAGCAGCAGTAGCACGATTCCTTTTCTTTTTAAGAGAGGGGAGTGAAGATGTTAATGGAAATAGAAACACTCACATTGGTTCTAAAGATGAAAGTTGACCTCACTTCAGTCAGGCTATTCCTGGTGTTCATGTATTTCACTTTTTCGGAAAATCATGCTAGGGAGCTGTACCCTCTTTCAGTTGTGCAGGCCTGGCACTCAGCTCCCTGCCACTTTCACAAGGAGTGGGAATGGGTGGAGGAATGCCTGGGTGACGTATCCTAGTTGCTCATGGTTTAGGGAGGAAAGTGGACGAGCTTCTATCATTTCTAGTTTCTCAGCAGCCAGAGAAGCAGAACATCAAAGTCCTTTATCATAGGATGCACAGATAATTGTGTGAGACAAAGGAAATCGCCTCTGGCTACATTGGAGGTTCTTCAACTGCTGACATGGTCCCACCATCCATAAGAGCAGAAAGTCTGCAGCAGCCGTCTCTCTCTGGTGGATTCATTTCCACAGCTGAGCATGTTAGATGAGTAGGGGTCGGATTAATTACTTTTGGCAAACAGTTCTCATAGCAAAGTGACTTCACATCCCTCCCACAAGCCCCCTAATTTCCAATCCACCCTCCCAATTCCATCTGCATGACTCTCATTTCTTTCTGAGTACAAGATACAGGACCCCAATGATGAAGCTGAAGCAAAAGCAGATCCAAGCAAGTATGAAGGAGTAGCCATGGTGGTCATTCTTGGCTTTGTAGTAATGTGGAAATCGGGCTGTGTAGATAGCAACAGCGATCAAAATGAACAGCCCTGTGAAGGAAAGACAAATTGGAGAGATGCTTTACATCTGTGTCTCATCCAGATGGGCTCTGGAGACACCATGACAGCAGATGAAAATGAGCAGAGAGACCCAGAGACACAGGCTGGCTCTATAATTTGAAGATGAAAACATCCCACAGAGGTTTTTATGTTTTCCACATAGAGTCTGATTGTACAAATTTGTTATTAGAAAACATCCTGCTTTCAGTTACTGGGTAGCTCAACATCACAGAGTAATTCTTGCCTCTTCCACATGGATAAAGTGTACCTGAATACTTTGGAATAAATTTACTTTCACCCTAGGCCACAGCCCACTCCACTGGGACTCCTGGGCTAACACAATGGCTCACACTGAGGTAAGGCACTCGAAGGACTTTCTCTGCCCACATCTGTGCTTGTCTGGAAGTCTTTACTGGGGAGGCATTTCTCCCAGCACCCCTGCCAAATGAGGTATGGTGGATGGCCATGCATGACAGGGCCTTTTTATCAATGGCCCCCTGCTGTAGTATGGTTTCCCCAGAAGGTCTGCCTGGTGCCTACTTTAATGTTTTAAAATCCATGGTGGTTTAGCCCTCTTTTGATTCTAGGGATTTCTGTTCCTCCCCTTTGTATATTAATTTATGCAATGCTGTGAAGCTGTGCTCCCCAGCTGTTTTTAAGTGGACTGTGTTGTGTAAGAAGTTCATCCTTTTGCTTGTCCTGAACCTAAAGGAAAGCAATTTCATTGGATAACCACAAACCGCAGTATTTTGAGTGAGACTACAGTATTCCCCTTCCGTTTACTTATGTACAGTATCCATAAGGTTATAGCTTTCCATTATCATGGTCCCACATAATCATCTTTTCCTCCTAAGGAAAAAAATGTTTCAGGCACATTTTTTTTTTCACTGGGAACCAATCCATCTTCCCCTTCATCTGAGGACTGTTTCACATGTTACTCCTGAGAAGTCTTGTCCTGGATATGATTAATTTCAGGAGGTCCCACTGAACACAATGATGCTAGTTTAAGTTAATGCACATAAAATGCCATCTTAATGATGGGCCACATGCACAGACTGCCTGTGCCTGTAAAGGCTGTAGTTCCAACAGCCACTACAGGTATAAATGAATGAAACGGCTCAGGACTTACAGGCCTTTACAATGAGGGCAGAAGACCTGCCAGCTCAGTGCCAGTGAGTCATCTTATTTCTCTTCCGCCAGCTGGTGCAGTAGGTGGCAGCACTTGCCCAGTAAGTGCTTCTGTTTTTCTTAGGTGGGTTAATGCCCAACCATTTTTGAGGTTGTTGTTGGTCATCTCTGCCCTTCTAATGGCTGCACAGAGCCTTTTGACTCCAGTTAGACTTCTCCTAGCTTGACTTCAAGAAGAAGAAGAAAACTTCAGCCCATATTTCCTCTCCCACTTCTAGGACAACCAGAGCTTTCACCCTTACTCAGCTATAAGTATGTTCATGGAGGCACGAAGATCCAAGGGTGGAGTAAAGACATAACTCTTGCGCTATCTGTCCTACACTGGCCTGCAATCATGATCCCTACTGCAACCATACTCCAGATTTCTCCAAGTTGGCATCCTTTAGATATGTTGGACTACATTTCCCACCATCCATACCCAGCAGGGTCATTGTATTATGGGACAATCAAATTCATAGGCCAACCCATTTGGGAGGCACCAGGTTCAGAGGGTTGCCCTAACCATCGGGTGTGTATATGTGTCTCTTACTTACAGCAGACCAGCATAATGGCTCCCGTGATGTAAAAGCGTTTTCCTTTCTCCATAGTGAAGAGCTGCACCACAAACATAACCAGAGAGACAAAGGAAAAGATGATGGCCAGGATCATGAAGGCCTGCACTGCCTTGAGGGAATCTGGAGACACATGGGAGAGAGAGAGAGAGAGAGAGAGAGTGGCAGGGGTTGACTTTGAAGGAAGACACTGTCGATTTCAAAATGCACCAGTGTTTCAGGTAGTGAAAATTATTAAGATAGAGAAAAAGGTTTCTTACCAAGATCATCACTCACAAAAGGAAGATCCGTGCATTTGCCATCAGCACATTGCTCCCAAAGCCCTGAGGAGTTTGTGCTACCTCCGGAAGTCATGCCTGCCATCCAGACCTAAATCAAAACAGAAGAGTCATGATTTTTTAAATTGCCCTTCCATCAGGGAACCATCTTATAGTTGCAATCCTACACATGACAATTCAGAACTCCCATGGACATCTGTAGGATTTATCCCCAGTCAAGCATATTTCATTTGCAACCTTACCAAATCAAAACTAAGGAAGCAAAACCAGGCCAGATTAGCAATGTGCTTTTAGAAGTCCTGTCACCCCTTACTGTGCTTTACATTATTAGAAACAGAAAAGATTGGCTTTTTTGCACCAATAGCCTTAAAAAAACTATACTACTAGAGATCTGACATCAGTGGGGAATTTGGGAAATATGCACACATGTTTTTACTTTGGTTCAGTCTAATTGTAAATGTGGATGTGTTTATGGATAATCTCAGCTGAAACAATAGTTTGTTCAAATATGAAGGCAATCACTGGTCATGTTTAACACTAAAGGCAGTATCTCTAGACACTTAACATTTACTGTGCACTTCTGATTCTTCCCTCACAGTAGCATGAGAGTATTAAGTTTCACTTGCAAAGCAAATCTCATGTTACAATTGTAATGTACCACAGCTCTACCACAGCGCCACCCTGTGGTTGTAGAAGCATGGAAACATAGCAAGTCAGAAGGGGCCTCCTGGGCCATTTAATCTGACCCCCGGCTCCAGTTGACTCCACTCATGTAATCCCCAACATACAGTTGTCCAATCTTTCCTTGAACACCCTCACTGTTGGGCCCTCCACCACCTCCCATGGAAGCCCATTCCATATCCCAGGGGTCCTAACCATCAGGAAGTAATTTCTGACTTCCAACCTGAAACCCAGTTCCTTGGGGTTTGCCCCATTGGGCCGGGTTATTTCCTCCACTGCAGGGGAGAAGAGGTTACAACCCTCTGCTGTGTGACACTTCCTCACACACCTATATGGTTGTGTAATGGAATACAGAGAAAGACAGAAAAAGAAAAAGAAACACTTTGGCAAAGAACACACGTAAAGAAGCAGATATTAATCCCCCGTGAAGAATCTGGAAAAAGAAGTTGGTGAAATGGTGGGATAAAAGCCTTGTGTAGAAGAAGCTCTGAGGGTGAAATGTAATTAAGTTTTCTACAGATGAAACGGCTTCCATCAGCAGCACAGAGAGGTGGGGATTCCAGCCCCCCACTCCAGAGGGCCCTGTGCACCCCCTCAGCGCTGCCCTGGATTTCTGTGGGGTCTTCTGGAGCGGTGTGTGCAGTTGCAGGGGAAGGGAAGTGAGAATAAATCCCCTCCCAACACACATGAACAGAACTAAAATATCTTACATATTTATGAAGTAGCAAAGAAAAAAATGTATGTTATGAATAAAAATAACTACTATTATACATATTACTAATGATAAAAACAGTGCTTTACAGATCCAGAGCTATGGAGATGAAGATTCAGGCAGCAGGAAAAGATAGCTGTCACTTTGACTGGTACTGTAATTAAAAAGACCAACCAACTGCATGACAGGTCAGATCCCAATTGTGTGGGTCCTTTATCTATGGGGCACAGAACTTTCATCTGTAGTTAGCAGTTTGAAATATGCACAGAGATTTATCATCCATATTTCTGCTGTGTCTCTTGGAGCCTTGTCAACGCCGTGCTTTTTGTATAGAGCCAATTATTAGTGTTGCTATCACAGATATGGGGAAGTTTGGGACAGGGATGAGGATGATGGCAGTTGAGGCATGGAAGGAATACTGTGGGTGAGATGTGGTAAGATAAGAAGGACAAAGCACTATGGACTCTGGGCAATGCGACAGCTCTCTTGCATACAGTGGCCTTCAAGATCTTTCGGACTACCATTCCCTTCAGCCTCATCCATCATGGACAGAGTAAACATTTTGGGGGATGTAGTCCACAACATCTGAAGAGTACCAGGTTGAGGAAGGCTGGGATTTAGGAAGCTGCTTCCTTGTCCATTGAGTTCCATGTTGTTTATTCTGATGGGCGATGGCTCCAAGGTCTCGGGCCAGATCTTTCCATCATCTGCATCCTGGCGCTTCCAACTGGAAATGACTAGGATTTAAATCAGGACTCTCTGCATACAAAGAAGGTGCTCTAGCACTGAGTTGCAGCTCTCCCTCTGCACAGCCAGACTGTGATTTCCCTGGGGTTAGTGCATGTGTTCCTGACTGTTTGTGCATTCTGTGCACGGATTTTCAATCTTTTCTCTCCCACATTGAACGTTAGAACTGTTTAAAGGGAAAAAAGGAAAGAAAGAGAACAGAAGGCCAGATTCTCAAGTGCATACATATTTCATTGGATGATATGCTTAAACAGAGCACATCTGATAGCCCCTGCACTTTCTCCGAAGGTTCAGGATCTACTAAGCAAGGTGTTCATTGAGGTTTAGAGCAGTAAATCCAATAAGTGAATAAGTGAATAATGTAAACGATGGTCCATCCATGAAAATCACTACTTGACTTACTGCTGCTGTGTTAAACACTGGATAGATCTCCTTCAAAGCCTTTGGTAAAAATACACCTTGGTGCTTTCTGCCCTCTGAATATTGCACAGTATAATTTAGCCTGATCATCAGTAATAATAAAGAAGGGTTTGTTTGACACTCTTATTCAAGTTGCCTTAGTTCCCGAGGGCAGACTGTGATCTGCAATGGTCTCATACCTATTTTCTCAGTTATCTTAGTCATTCTGCACACTGCCCACCCTATAAATAATAAATTTCTAAGAGCAGACAAGTAATCTTTAGAAACTAATAAATTTCTAAATTTATTAGTTTCTTACCTGCTCTGAAAGAAAGGATCACAAATAGACCTCTGGATAGATCTTCTGTGATGCAGGTTTGGACAGATTTTTTTTTCTTTATGATTGATTTGTATTGAGTGAAGAAGTAAAATAAATTTTAGATTGTAAACTGTTGCATTATTTCTCCATTCTTTCATTGGATAGTAAATGTCTCTTTTTGCCATTTTACCTTGGTTGTCCCACAGGAATACCCATGATAGACCAAGGTTTATATGCAGTGGCTGCCATGGAAATCACTGAGTCTTATATTAGTTGTGACAAACTAACTCTTTTATTTCAATGAGTCTACTCTAGTTGTGACCAAATCTGGATCTAACCTTTACTTCTTTAAGTTGTAACCACATACACATTTATATGGGAGTTAGCCTTACCAAATTCAGTGGGATGTCCTTCTGAGTAGACATGCAAATAGCCACTCAGTTACCAAGATTAATTGCCTATGTTTTACCTTTGTTTCAGAATAACATAAAATAAAATTCCATGGGGCAAGCACCCCTTTGATATTTTAGAAAAAATAAAGCAGTGTATAAATATTTTAGATGACTGTAACCATAACAGGAAGGTTCATGGAAATTTGGGTACAGCAAGGAAGGTATGACCGTGAAATATGCTCTTCTGTCATCTCTTGTCACATGTCTGTGATTCTGAAAATGGGATGGAAATGGTTTCCTCAGGATTTATTATTTTATTTATTTATTTATTTATTTATTAAAACATTTTTTATGCCGCCCCATTCGCCGAAGCCTCGGGGCGGCTTACAACAATAAATTAAAATAACATTTTAAAATATATACATTAAAATACAAATATATAATATAAAACATACAATTTATCCCTTGAGATAGACTTCACCAATCCAACACCCACCAGATGTGTCAGACTACAATTCCCATTGTCCCTAGCCCAACTCAAACACAGGTCCTTATGTTCCATTTTCCTTAGAGCTTGCCTGTATGACTTTATTTCTGGGAGTTATATTCTAAATGGGGACATTACCCTAAAAGATAAGTTATACAGTGTTTTTAAATGTGCTAAGTGTGGTGCTTCAGTTAAAGGGGATTCCCACAGGTCCATACCAATGTCACACTAGCCTATATCAGTGATGTAACAGACAGGGGGTGGGGGGGCATGTAGGTATGTCTGGGAGGGATACAGCTCTGGGACTTTTTTTTTGGAGCAGAAGCAGTTCTGTCACCTGCCTTTCTTACTGTGACAAGTAAATGAGGTGATAATGAGGCTTTCAAGTTTTACTTGTGACATGTTTGCAAAAAAGAGGTCTGAGAATAAGCAAAGGTAGAGGTTAAATATATTCTCTTCTTTGATGGTGTTCCAATGTCACTCTAGCAATTTAAACAGTAACCCTCCTTTGCAAAATTGCTTGCATTTCTAATTAAAAGTCAATAGTTCCAGTTCAGCTAGCTGAAAAAGAACCTTTGTTACAGTTCTATGTGTTTTCCTAAATGAACCAGGGCAGTCAGAAGTTAGAACAGCAGTGTTCGGTGCAACTTACTATCAGGTAACTTGCATAGGATTTGAGTCATGCTATTTCTCTTACTGGAGCTCTTTGGTGCATGTCTGTGTGCATGTACACAGGCATGCATGCACGCCCCCCCCCCCCACACACACACACTTGTGACAAGTTTCCTTACTTCCAAAGTTATTATGACATCACTGGTCTGCATGGTCAATGCATCATGGGCAATTCCGCAGGGAAAATGGGAGCCGCCTTGTCCCAGCATGCTCCCTGCCTTCCATACCCAGCAAAGAGCATGGGAAGCTGCTTCTGGACTGGGTGTGACAGCGATCTTTCCAAGCCTCTATCTGGGTAGTAGGAAGACTGCAGAAGTCTGTTCCCTTGGCTCTCTGCCTGGGCAGGACCTGTGCCAAACCCTGGAACAACAGAATGCTGAGAAAGAACTCGCTGTGGTTTCCTGAGCGTTTTGGCTTCAAAATGTCCTTCCTGTTGTTGTTCAATGTTATGCTGCCTGGATCTCCTTTTTTTAAAGATAAGAATAAATGATAGGCTGTTTTCAGATAGGAGCATCCAGCAGGGGTCATCATAAACTAAAGCAAAGGAGCAGTTCTTGGGTTACATAAATACACACATTGTTTGAGTATTCATGAATAAAATCTTCCCATGCCTTCCTGCATTTAAAGTTCTGTTACTAGTTGGTGGCCCCCAGGAGTCCAAATTGAACCAAGATTATTCTGAAATAAATTCCAGGCAATACAACATAATTTGTTTCCTAACAAGCATACTTATTAAAGCGGGATTAGGTGTACATTATTTCAACTCCATTTTCTTTAGCGTAATCCTGGAGACACGTAAGCTTCTATTTGTGTCTTTGTTTCCTATTCCAAAGAAAGTGGTTTGGAAAGCACTTTGGATTCTTGCACCAGACATTTCTAAAAAGCCACAAGTATTCCTCACTGCCCGTACCCACCAGAACTGTTTAGCCTTGCAGTGGAACCATCACAAAGGAACTTGAAGAGCAGCACTTATACCCCTGGTGTGTGTATCTCGTGAAGATCGCACTCATCTGTGTGCACTGACATTTGCCCAGTTAAGATTATGAGCTGCTCTTAGCTCACAAGTTGCTTTGAATCATTTCAAGCAGGCATGTATGGTGTGGCATAGCAGGAAAACGACGTCAGCTGAGAGGACTGTACTTTGGAGCTAATTTTACAGCAGTACAGAAAGAACACTACAATGACTTCATTAAATGATAAAGAGTCTTGCAGTGGCAGTACGAATGACACTGAGCTTTCAGAGAGAGAAAAACTCATTCAATGAAATGTATCTGATATTTATGAATGACAGCATAGGGCTAAAATCACCCTACCTATAGGATTTAGTGGGTCAGTTGACTTGATTGTCTCATAACACTGGAAGCATCAAACAAGTTATCAGGCCAGATGAAGGAGCTTTATGCTGAAATGAGCCCTCCAAAGGCAGCATCTCATCTTGTAAATGAAATGTTGGGCTCTTGGGACCTACCTGCACGCCCATCAGCGGAGGTGATAGATGCTAGAAAAGCCAGCACTAGGGATCAGTCTATCTGTCAAGTTCAATTCGGCTCAGTTTTCCATTTTTCCAGCATTATGTTTCTGCCGTCCTGTTTTCACTTCACTTTCTGGCATTTCCCCAAAAAAGCTCACACAAAAATGTGTACATGCTTTTGTGCACATTACTCAAATTGTATATGTTTTTGGCATGCACCTCTACAAATATATGTATCTACCACAAGGGATTACCCAATATAAAGTGTTTTTGTATATTCTTTCATTTGTGCATTTTTGTGTGCCTCTTCCCCCAATAAGGTTATTTTAGTATATACCTTCTCTATTCTATACTTTTTTGTGAGTGTTTTACCATTTGCACTCCATCGCTAATTTCAGAATTTTTTGCCATAGATGTGCACTCTGGTTCATCCGCAGGTTGAGGAAGTGTGCATTTGGTAAGTTTGCAATACAAACCGAATCAATTTCTTTCCCACCTTTAGCCAAAGGTGAGCTGCTCCTACTTGTATACATCAGCTATTGCAGGCACAATGCAGATGTTGACACTCAGCTACTGATGGGAGACTCAGTTTACTACTGGCCTGTGTTCCTTTCATGTGTATTCATTACATTCTGTTTCTGCATTAGATTATATTAGAAAAAATGCTCAAAAATGATATTCCAGTCCAGTGTAAAAATATTTTTCTCTAACTGCACATGTTAAAATCTGCTATGATCATCTGGAGCATTGGGAAAGTACAAAAACCTGTAGATAATGTGTATCAGGGGGAGATCCCATGCATGTTTAGACAGAAAAAGTCCTCCTAGCAGAAAAAGTCGTGCTGGGAGTTATAGGGCTTTTTTTTCTGTCTAAATAGGCAGAGGGTTCTGCCCTTGTTCTCATCTGCACATTGGTCTGGGAGGTGTGGATCAGGGTAGTTTATACTGAAATTCACAAAGAACACATTCTTCAAGTAGCCCTACAGCTGACCATTAAAATCCAAATTCTACATATGGCAGTGAGAAAAGGAAAACAGAGCAAGAGGGTGTCAAACAGGAAATGAAGGGAAGAGAACACATCAAAGGCATGGAAGAATTGCTTGACTACCTTAAGACCCAACTTTCTTGGTTCAGAGGGATGATTAAACTGTGTTTTGTTTTTGTTTTTGTTTCTGTTTTGTTTTGTGTGGCGGGGGAGCGGGGACAATTATTCAGAGTAAGGTTTAAACACCCGCTAGCATTATTTTACCAATCACCGTGTCAGGCTACTTAAGTGCTTACTTGTACATTGTATTTTTTATTATTGGATAGTTTAAAGGTCTACTAAAGCAGTTCACACCTAAGTGACTGCTGAGAACTTGAAACCCATTGGACTTTGGTAAATCCACCTGTTCTTGGGGCACCTTTGAGTAAACGCTTCACTGGGTTACTACAGCGAGAAGTCAAAGGGGCTCAGACTTTGTTGCCACCCCATTCCTTGCCCACTGGACAATAAAAGGCTATCTGGCCATCACTGGAAACAGAATTCTTCTCCCTTCTTTCCTTCCTTCTTTCTCTATGGTTTCCCAGCCATTTTTATGGCTTTTTCTTTTTCAGGAAGGAAAATATAGCACCATTATTCATTACGGAAGCCTCATATATTTTTGCAAGTCTTCTCATCCAAAAAAACAAAACAAAACAAAACAAACAAACAGAAACAGAATAAACAGCCTCGGTAAAACACCAGGTTTTATGATTCCTTTAGAGAAGACTTCAGATGCCTGTCTGCAAGCAGCAGGTGACTGACTTTGTGCTGCCCTATTTACAATCTATTATCCTTCATTTTCAGGAAAACCCCAGTTGTGGCACAATGAGGCATTAATTGTAAAACACCAGTGGCCAGATCAGTTAGCAAGTACACAGAGGCACAAACCATTTTCTTCCCATCATTGCTTTAATCATCACACAGACCACCAAAACCTGGTGCATACCTGAAACAAGTATATATAATCCTATATTACTATATGCCTGTGTTTTGGGAATGGAGCAGGTCCAACCAATCATTAATGGAAGTGTCTAAAAGTGTCTAACTGTTGAGTTAATCAGTCTGTCCCATTAACTGGCTGATTCTTTGGGTTGCTTGGTTGGTTTAAATGCGCTGTCATGTTGTGGAATAACAATTGGAATGATCTCAGTTGCTCCATTTTCTTAGAGATTGGTGGAGAACGGGTGGAGCAGTTTGTCCCTTCCTCTCAAGGAGTCTTTCCAGCAAAGGCTCAATGGTCTGCGTGGGTCTGTATGTGAATATCCACTAGGGGGCAGGGATAATCATGGGAGGTTGAGAGGGGGAAGATGGAAGCTGTCTGAGCAGAGGGAGGGTGTCTCTTGTGTCTTTCATTCCTTAGACATCTGATGAGGAGAGGAAGTGATTGGCGGCAATTAAAGACTAAGGTACTCCATAGACTGATCTGGAGAGCTAGCATAGGCTTCTTGGTGCTACAGAACTCTTTCTGAATGCATTGAATGCACATTAGTGGCAATGTGTAAGATCTGATGAATATTAACCAAATTGTCATGTATCATTATTTGGTCTGAGAAACAAGGAAGCACGAACATCTGCCTGTCGTGCTGTCATGAGCTGTACACGGGCCTGCCTTGCACAACAGCTCAGAAACCTCAGCTGGGCCAGAATGCTGCAGCCAGGGAGAGTTACAGGAGCTTGTTATAACAGCTTCACTGATTACCAGCCTGTTTCGAGGCAGAATTCAAAGCATGGGTTATTACCTGTAAATTCCTGTACAGCTTGGCACCAGACTACCTGAAAGAGCACATTTCTTTACATGAGCCTGCTCAGATCTTAAGCTCTTCTGCAGAGGCCCTTCCACTAAGACCTGGGCCCTGCTGTTCTCCTATCCCTGCTGAGATGTGATAGTAAAATCAGTATTTGGCTTTGGGCAGGGAAGATAAGTCTAGGTTTAACGTGTAAATCAAGAACTGTGTTAGGTAATTCCTCCAACTTCCCATTATACTTGTCTTTGCTCAACTAGCTTGCAAGAATATTTTATGATTCCAGAAACAGATGAGTCGGAAAAGACATTATAATTATGTAGCAGACTGTCTGGCAGGTGATGGTAAAGCGACTCCAAAGTATTATGAGCTAATTCCCCTCACTCAGCTGGTTTCTGAGCAGGGTGTGACCCACTGTTTTGACTCCAGGATAGGAGAGTGGGAACATCACCATTTCACACCTGGAGGCTGCCTTGAATTACTGTTTTGTTTCAGCTAATAATTAGGGAACTTTCCTGTTTTCAGGGTGTAACTTGTGTGATAGGTTTCAACAGCCAAGAATGTAAATCAAGGCACCCTAAGCCATATAAATGACCTGGAAAAGTTTAATGTTTTATTATTTTTAATGGAGTGATTTGCCTTCTGGAGTTTAATCAGCATCAAAGCATTAATGATAAATTGGCACTTGTCGGTATTTGCAAGAAATCTACTGGACTCATGGGCAGAAAATGACTGCTTTGATTCCTTCAGTCTATACCAAACAAGGGCGATCACAAAGGCTTGTCAACAATATCCAGAAAGGTAACCTTGGAAGGGTCCTGCTACTTACATTAGCAATGGTGGAGACAAAGAGCATGATGACAGTGGCAATGTGGATCACAAAAATGCCAGCTAGTAGTACCAACATCTTGGCTCCTCACAGCAGTGGCGCCTCAAATGCCGGGAAGTCTGTTGGGGAAAAGCACATGCAGTTAAGAGCATTGCTCAGAAATTAACTGGTATGTGCGGGTAACTAAAGGTGCTTGCTTTATCCTCAGAAAATCATCAAGAGACACGGCACTGCAAATGCTAACAGACTGAACTGAATTCTTCTGTAATGCCAGTGAGGCAATTTAAATACTGCACCAGTGTTGCCGAAAATTAAATTTGTAGAAAAATCATAGGTGTGTGTTGGTTGAAACAGAAGCAGGGTGTGATCATAGGGCTTTTTGACATCACTGGATTTTTTGGAGTCCCAGCACCATGATCCTGGGACTTCAGCACTGCGAGTCTGAAGGCTGAGCCTGGCTGCCTCTCCGAGAATGGAAATGCCCCTTGGAGAGGGGCAGGGAGGGGAGGAGGTGGGGGCCACCTCTCTACCCCAATTCCTGTCCGTGCCAGAGCCTCCTTTCTCCCTCCACTCCCTGACACTGTATCTGGACAACCGAGAACGTCCATCCGAGAAAATGTGCAGTTGAGACAGCAGCCGCCACCCCTCGCTCTGGCCACCGGATACATGTCAGCCTCCAAGGCCAGAGGCTCATGTGCAGTAAGGGTGGGGCTCAGCATTGCACCTTCTTTAACTCCCCTAAAAAAGTGTATAGCTATGCTAAGTGTGCCAAAGAAAAGGAAGAAAGAGGCACTCTTTATTATATTTTTATCATATCCTTTCTCTAAAGCATGGGTGGGGAGCCTGGGGGCCGCATGTGGACCTTGGCCTCGTTTCATGCAGAAGTCAGCCCACGCGCTTTGCAAATGTTGTCTGTGCTCTCTCTGACCTCAGGGTCTTGGCGTTGACCAAGGTGAGGCAGACCCAGGCAGGAGAGAGTTCTCTCATCCTTGTTCTAAGATGCTCAGAGAGCTCCAAACTGTTCTTCCCTGCCCTGCTTGTTTTCACAACAAACCCAAAGGCCAGCTAGAGTGAGGGTTAGTGTCTGGTCCAAGGTCACCCAGTGGATGTCACAGTGATTGGGAATTTGCATCTCAGTGTTAGTCCAACAGGGTAACTGTTTCTGCATGCACGAGTATCATATTCCAGGCAATGATGTGCATGTCAGAGTCAAAGGAAAGCTGCTTTGCCCAAACCCTCGTTCTATTGCAAATATTCTTTATCCCAGGGCCTACCTAGATCTTACTTGGAAGGGCCATGATCAGATCTCCTGATACAGGGTTGTTTTGCTTTTGCTTATGATAGTCTAAAAGCAAATATAGGGTGGAAACAATCTGGATTGCATCTAAACTTCCCCATGCCATGTCCCCAATCCAGCCTCAGTTGCTATTTGCTGCTAATTGTGAGAAGGAAAACTTATAGGCAACTATTTCAATCATTCCTGTTAGAACTCCTCCCCTTCCATCATGGCCATGATCCAAAATATATCCCTGATGATATCTTTTTATAAGATAATTGCATCACAAGTTCCACCTGTGGGTTTCACACACAACATATAGTTTGGTCCACAATTTTAGGGCTGAAGAAGATCTATATTATTTACTTGTGAAACATATGCTCTTCCTTCCCACCAAAACTGGTGCTTAAGGCAGCATGTGGCAACAAAACAGAAAGCAAAATTCAAAATAACAATTAAAAGCATAAAAATAAGGCAACTGTAATGCATCAATAAAACCAGTAAAAATAAGCTACATCTATGGCCGTATATTTTCATTAGCTATTTACAATGCTTCATTGGATGAGACCAAAGAAGACAAGTCTGCCTCTACATGTCCCTAGTCAGTAGCCCAACAGACCTTGAGGGCACCAAGTTGGGAAAGTTTCAGTAGACCAGGAAATGGGCCAGCTCTCTAAGATCCCACAACCCCTCAGGTACATCTGGCTTATGGCCAATTGCAATGAAAGCCCAATAAATTCTGGAGAGCCAGAAGTTCTTCGGCTTCACTATGGGCAAGGGCCTAGATATGATCTGGTAGTGGAACGGTAGACCACGCATGATGGACAGGGTGGTTCAGGAGTTAGTGTTAGTATAAGGCACAGGAGATGGAGCCTCCTTTGGAATTTGCTAAGTATTTCCACAATAACCTAAGATCATATAATGCCTCAGTTCCCTGCCTGTAAATTGGAGGGAAGAAGACTTCCATAGCTTTCTTGTGAAAATAAATAAATAATAGAATAGGAATAGGAATAGGCAACTCAGGTAAAATTTAATAGCCTGCTGGAATATATTGACACTCTGTCGGGTAGAGGACAACCTAGACTTCATGAAGCAAGGGATTCCACAGTATTGGTGCAAGTACCAAGAAGGATCTGACCAAACATATGCTAATCATCCATGGGACACATGGGAGTACATCTTGACTTGATCCTAATGAGCTCAAAGAGCAATTAGGCAGTCTATCAGGTAACCTGCACTTAATCCATTTAGGGTTGTAAAAGTAATTGCTAACACTTGAATTGTGCCTGGAAACTGGCAACCAGAGCAGACATTGCAGGATAGGTATATTACAGTCCTAAGAGCAAGCATCCAGAGCTGATGTGGTCCCCATCTACAAAAAAGGGAAGAAAGATGAACCAGGGAACTATAGACCAGACAGTCTAACTTCAATCCCTGGGAAATTACTCGAGCAAATCATTAAAAAATCAGCCTGTACACACCTTGAAGAACATGTAGCAATAAACAAAAGTCAACATGGATTTCTTAAGAATGAGTCATGCCAAACTAATGTAATCTCATTCTTTGACTGGGTTATTGCCCAAATGAACAAAGGAAACACAGTGGACATAATTTACGTAGACTTTAGCAAAGCCTTTGACAAAGTCTCCCATGGCATCCTAATAAATAAATTAGCAAAAGGTGAGCCTGACAGAACTACTGGTAGGTGAATTCACAACTGGCTTCAAAATAGGTCACAAAGTCTGATAATCGTCAGTAGCTTCTCAACCTGGAGGGAAGTTCAGGTGGGGTAGCAAAGGGCTCTATCCTGGGACCAGCACTCTTCAACATTTTTATTAATGATCTTGATGGGAAAATCCAGGGAATGGTAACTAAATTTGCAGACGATACTAAACTAGGTGGAATAGCTAATATCCTGGAAGACAAAAAGGAGATCCAGGGAGTTCTAGAAAATCTTGAATGCTGGGTGGAAAACAACAGAATGAAATTCGAAATGCCAAATTCTCTACCTAGGCAAAAAAAAAATCAGCTACATCAATACAAGATGAGGAATACTTGGCTCAACCATTTTGTGAGTGAAAGAGACCTTGGAGCTGTTGTAGACAGCAAGCTAAATATGAGCCAGCAGTGTGATGCAGCTGCAAAGAAGGCAAATACAGTTTTCAGATATATAAATAGAGGTATTACTTCCAGAAAAAGAGTAGTACTCATTCCCTTTACTCTGCATTAGTCTAACCTCACCTGGAATACAGAGTTCAGTTCTGGAAACCTAGGCTTAAAAAGGATGCTGATAATCTGGAAAGGATTCAGAGGATGGCAACAAAGACAGGGCCTGGAAATAAGTCTTATGATGAGAGACTGAAAGAACTGGGCCTGTTCAGCCTTGAGAAAAGAAGACCATGAGGTAACATGATAGCACTCTGCAGGTACCTCAAAGACTGTTACAAAGAAGAAAGAAAAGACTTATTCTCACTCATCCCAGATTGTAGGACATGAACAATGAACTTAAACTACAGTACACCAGATGTAGGCTACACACAAGGAAGAAGTTCCTAACTGTAAGAGCAATACGACTGTGGAACAGGGATACATTGTCAAGAGAGGTTGTGTGCTCTTCCACACTAGAGACATTCATGAAGAAACTGACAGCCATCTGAGAGGGTTGGTGTAACTGGCGTCCTGCACCAGCAGGGGGTTGGACTCATTGGCCTTCTTGGCCCCTTCCAACTCTACTTTTCAATGATTTTATGATTGTCGTTGCTGCATTCCAATGTGCCAGTTCTCTCCCTCTCTGCCTGCATTCCAGCACGCAACCTCTCCACTCACAGCCTGGATTAGTATAAATTGGACCTCCGTACTGAGAGTTAAAACCAGCATCCTTAGAGCTATGTGCAGGATTATTTCCAGGCTGGCCACCATGACATTTAGAGAGGCCCTTTGCTGGAGGAGAAGGATCAGTTACTGGAGTGATTCCTGCACCAGAACAAACCCTGCTTTGAAACGTGGGGCCCACCCGATAATTTTTTAATACAATGATCTTGCTTCAGCACAGTTTTGAAGAAAGCCACCATTTATTGGTAATTAGCCTGATTCATTTCCCCATTCTTTCCTGTCTATGCAACAATTTCTGATTAACTGTGGAATTTCTCAGTGATGCTGACTATTTTTGTTTGGAAATGGGAAAAGCTTGACATCTTAAGCCACAATCCCGTGCATGTTTAAACAAAGAAAAGGCCTCTCGTTCCCAGCATGACTGGCTGCAGCATGTTGGGAGCTAGGAGCTGTTTCCCCCCCCCCCCCTCTGCAAAAGCACATAGGATTGTGTTAATAGAGCTTCTATTGCTGAATTGATCTGTTAATCTGTTAACTTAATCAGTTGCTTTCCGAGGCTTCTTCCCCATTTTCATTGTGGGGAAAAATGTGTGCTTTACAAGCTTTTTTCCCTCTTTCGGGAGTTTCTATTTCTCAGCCTTTCTATACAGTTTATTAACCAGCCACAAGGTAGTGCTGTGATACAGCCAGGCCCTGAGCAGATTTGCAGCATCTCACAAGGCCTTTGTGCCTGTACTGGACTTGTCTCAGAACCCACCCAAATGGCTGGAAAACACAGGAGAGGTTGTGCAGCATGACATTGTGAAAGGCCCCACAAACTTCCCTGAATGAGGGATCACGAGAGAACAAGAGATGCTCTGGGCAAAACACAGAAGGAGAATGATGACTCCCTCCAGCCCCCACAGGTGCATTTTCATGCCAGTGATGACATGGACCTCCCCCACCTCCCCAGTCCACCTCACGCCAAGAGCTTTTCCACAGGAGGCTATCAGTTGGCTGCTGATCCACCGT